GAACAAATGATACATTGAGAAGGGGTATAATGTTTTATTTGGAAAAGGTTCCGAGATATCTAGAAGCAGTGACATAACCATCTGGGGTCTCCTTTCCTTTCTAAATTCCAGAAATGGGAGAAACACTCTGTTAACAAGCAACGGCAAACGAGCTTTTGATTACAGTATGAGATTTGGGGTTGGATTTAGATCCACCATTTTTCATTATGATTAATGGAAGGTTGGTGTCCAAGTACTTGCATCAGGAAATGTCCGAGAGACTCTTAGCTATCGTGAAGTATTTAAAAACCATAGAATGTATTTTGTTTAAATACCAATCCTTTGTGTGTATGTGCCAATCAGCTTGTTTCTCAGCGTCTCCTAGCACAGCAGCATGACTGCGCTCTGATGAAGGGCTCCTGCACGTGATGCTAGTTTTCACGCTGGTTTTCTTGTGCTAATCGGCGTATTTCTATCTATAAACCGCACAAAAATCACCACTGCATTATATAACTCTGGGATATCCTCTCCTTGCAAAATTGGCACACCCAGCTGAGGGAGTGGTTGGGTGAAGCCATACATTATCTTGGGTTTTGGATGGGTTCTTCAGTTCTGTGAGTCACTTGAGCAGAAGCGTAAGGCACCGGCCAGTCTCAGTTACAGGGAACCGTAGATCAGAGAAGCAAAGTCTACTGATCCACAGTGCTGCTGTTACAAGGTCTGTTCCCATGCTGTCATAGTCTTAACAAAAAGTGTATTCCAAGTCTAAGTATGATGGATTACAGGACAAAACGTTGCCTTGCTGGATTTTGCGGATGTGGGAAGGAAAGGTTATCTGGTATTACTATTAACTGTTGCTTCCCTTTGGGAATTTGGCGTAGTTTCAAAGTCCGGAGCGTTTACCTGGGCGTACCATGCATGACACTGCTACTAAATTGCTTGGAGGTTTATGGGTGAAAATCAACTTGGAGTAGGAAGATTTTATTATTTTTTTTCGTCATGGAGAAAAAAGGGAATTGTGTAAGATGAATACATAGAGAAGGGGCTGTTTGCCAGACTCAGTGCTGACTGCCTCGTGGCTCCAATGAATTTCATAGATGTGCTAACATGACTGGCCTAACATGTCCTGGCCACGTTCTTCTCTTTGGATGAGCTTGGGGCCCATCGGCTGGCTCTTTGCCGTGTATTGTTGCAGCACTTGAGCGACCTGTGGCTGCGCGAAGTGACTTGATGCTTTCAGCTGTCCAAATCACATGCCTGACGCAGGACAGGAAATCCTGCTTCGGGCTTAGCCAGGGTGTCTCAGGAGGGTGGTGGTGGTGCTTGAGTTACATGTCACGATACTGAAGCTGCGTTGGGTGAGGAGGTAGGTGATGAGAGAGGAGAAAGGTCTGGAAATACGGACTAAGGATAAAAGTTGCCAAAGGCTCTGGTCTGGCTTGACTTTCACCTGGGACAAGAGAAAGAAGGAAGACAGTGTGGAGAGAAGGCTGGGATGTTGAGACATGTAAAACTCCGGTCTAGTCACATCTTAGCCTGAATCCTTCAATATTGAAAGGGAAATAATTTCACTTCTCCCCAGATATGGAGTCCTTTGAGTAGCACATGAATTTCTGCAGGCGCATCCTATTTCAACAAAACCTTAAGATCCTCCCCACGCACCAGTCTCTAGCCCTTCTGCTGGCTTAGTCTCTCCAGCATTTCTGAATTACAGGGCTTGCAGGAAAAAACACCGTGTTAAAGGTCAGCGAAGGAACGCTGCAAATTAACATTTGAAAGTCATCAGTCACAGGAACTTGCCCTAAATTGGGCACTGGGAGATGTCTTCGTTGTCATGCTGGCAGCAGAGGAGAAGCTGCATTCAGTGGCTGTCAATTTTTTTTTTTTTTTTTTTTGCATAGCACTGCTATGTGGTAGCCCAGGGTGGGTCATTGCTTTTGAAGCATCTTCAAATATTTGCAAATGAGATGTTGCCTCTGGAGTTTGTTTCTCGAATACTCTGTTTCAGCTTGATTAGCAGATACGCAGATAAATCCCAACCAGCTCGTGCAGTGTGTTTGTCAGCTGTTCCCTCAAATCTGTTTTCAGGAATGGATATTGTGGCCCTATTGCCCCTTGTCCTTTGCTGATGGGGAAACTGAGGTGCAGTGTTGCGCTGACTAGTCCGTGTTCAGAAGCAGATACGAGAGTGCACACCGGGAGTTCAGGCTCTTGTTAGAGATTTTTTTTTTTTTTTTTTTTGGCTACATCATGCTGTTTCTTCTAAAAATACTTGTGTTTGTTGCTAGTCAAATTACTGGGTTCTTTCTTAAAAATGTAGACCTCGTTTTGCTCAACATATGTTTTATTAAACCTGTTCTCAGTGCTAAGATTGAATTGAATCCAAATTAACTAAAACCACCTTGAACATTTTTTAGCAAGACCCTCAAACATGCTTAATTTGAATGCTTCAGGAGTATCACACATTACCCACACTCATCGGACCAAGGCTAGGACATAGCAGAGAGCTTTGTGCATTCAGAGTGGCTGCTCCTTACTTATCATAAGAGAATATATGTTTTTCTGTAACGGGACTATAGAGACATGCAAATATATTGACCCATATTTGATTTCGGTTTTCTAAAGGGATGAAATGTTCAAGTGTTTGTGAATATAGTATTTTAACAATGAAAAAAGCTCCAAGTGTTGGTGAGATTTGAGTACAGATAATTAGGATGCTCAGAGCTGAACCATCTTGCTGTCTTCATTAAATCTCATGTAACGTACGTGCAGCCAGGGGCAGGAAACCCAACTAAAGCCTTTCTCACGTTCCACTTGAGATTTAAGAGTGTGTAGCACACTTGTCCTCTCCCCTCTCTGTTGCAAGCTGAGTATCTCTGTCCTGTGTACCAAGCCTAGAAAACAGACTTATAACTCTATTTTACGGAACTAATTATTTGGTTTGCAGAATTTTTGGCTACATCATTTCGAAAAATTACTACTCTTATGGTATACTCATTTTATGTTGGGTAAAGTTACAGAGCATCAGGTAAGCAGAGTTCAAGGAAGATGTTTAACAGTTGCTAGTTTAACAGTTCAGATTTTAAAAACACTGCCTTCAATATTCTACCTCTCTCTTTGTTTTACTACAGGTTGGATTTTTTCCTAGTGAGTGCGTTGAACTAATTAATGACAAAGTTCCTCAGTCCGTGACCAATTCTGTGCCAAAACCAGGTATGTGTGTTAAGTTTTGTGATGCAGTGAAATGAAATGGGAGTTACCTTTTGGTGTTCCATGTTTAATATCTCCTTTGTACATACTGTGTTCTACTCTGCGTGTTGATCATCCTTTACACGTACCATGTTATCCTTTCTATGTGTTGATCATCCACTCGTTACCTCTCTCTGAACAGTTGCCACTGTTGAATGTCTTTCATCTGCGGTGTTTTGTAAGCTCATATCAACGTCCATCTCCTGCATGACTTGAAAGGTTTTAAGCTTTTAAGAACTTAAGATACCTTCAGCAATCTCTAACTACTGATTCCATGCAACATCCCAGTTCTTGGTGTCCAGAGAGTGTTGTATGTTAGGGTTTTTTCATACAGAACATACAGGCAACCCAAAAATGTTTATGCTGACTTAGATGGAATAGATGAATTAGGTACTGGAAACTTCTTTCTGTTTGAGGATTGAGGGAGAAAAAGTATCACAGAACTTGGAATCCTAATTGTTTCTGCTCTGGGTAGATGACTCCATCTACTTCCTACTGCCTTCTGGACAGTTTTGTATTGTATGAAATACAAGTAAATTAATACCAAGCTTTGCTGATGAAAGGAAAAATAAATAGAAAATGAGATCTTAGATCTACTCTCATCCTAGTATACACTGGAAGTGATTGCAGTTAGATGTGCTGGCATAACTGAGATCTCTGCAGAGTTTAGTGGTGCTGAAGCTTTTGTTTAATTCTTTGGAATTTTTTTAAAAAATCTCTATATATTCATATATATAAAAATATATCTTTTGTATCAAGAGAAGCAGTTTGAAATTGTTGATCTTTCTTAAAACGTTATACGGCCGGCGAGTGTAGCTGGAAAGCTACTTAACTGGTGTTCTTTTCATCTATTTTCTCTATTTTAATGATGTTCCTTATCTTACAAGATTGCTGACTTGATACTTTAAAACAAATAGACGTGATTCAAAAGTTTGACTTTTACTAAGGGAAATGCATTTTATCAGATCTTGTGTTACAGCTCGGAACTTTTGGTTC